AAATGCTGCTGAATATGGTAGTTTTAACTATATTTTTTTAACTGCACATATGTGGATGTTTTTACCACTCACGTTTTTTCTCTGTAGAAAAAAATTATCTTTTCAACTGCATAAATAGTAAAAATAACTATTTTCAACAATTGATTTTACTATATGAAAACAGTAAATTTCTTTCTTTCTCTGCAACTAGTAAGAAATAGTTGTTTTAACTACATAAATCATAAAAGTAACAACTTTCAGAGGTTGTATTTACTGTATAAAAACAGTAAGTCTCATTTTGTTTGCAACTAATACAAAATAGTTATTTTTGCTACCACAATAGTAAAATTAACTATTTTTAACAATAGTTTTTACTACTACACTATAGTTGAGCCATTTACAAGCATCTGTTAGTTATTTCAACTACGTAAAGTAGTTATTTTAACTACATAAAACCAACTACTTCATTTTGGTTCCACTAACTGAGGAAGTGTAGTTAAAATGCTGCTGAATATGGTAGTTTTAACTACTTTTTTTCTAACTACACAAATGTGGTTGTTTTTACCATTCGCATTTTTTTCTCTATAGAGAGGGCCATGTGAATATGAGTACTTCTATTAAAAGCCGGCTACGGACCGCAAAATAGGGGGACTTTGGGAATCTGGATAAATTTGGAGAATATAACAAGGGGGTTGTCAATATATGTAAAAACCCAAATGGGGTATACCCATACATGAAGAACAAAAAAAAAAAAAAACCAAGCTCCAGAAAGAATTTGATTTTAATAAATAAAATCATATTTAAATCAAAAGAATCGGATTTTTTTCATTCTTTCTTAAAATTCATGATTTTTATTAGCAGCTCTGATTTGTTAATTATTTTTAAGTAAAGACGTTTTTAATTTTCGTCACTTTTAATAAAAATCGAAAAATTAAATATATGGTTTAAATTTAGACTCACGGGTTATTAAAATAAAATTTCCCTTTTACTCGAAACGATAAAAGCGAGAAGAATAAATAAATTTTTAACCAACAAGGGGTACTTAAAATAAATATAAAAAACCATGTCCTGTGTATTCTAATTTTAGAAACAATTAAAAAAGTTATAAATGCAAAACTATAATGTACACAGTTACTGTACTGCAGTATTCACTTCTTGGAAAGCTTCAATATCGATTGCAAAATACTCCAGACAGGAAAAGCATATATAGCTTAAAACTGTATAATCTTCATTCCAAATATAACTAAATTTTTCATATATTTTTTAATATATTTTTAATATATTTAAAAAAGAGTATACATTTATTTCTACGAAAAAATTCCTGTGGAAAATTTAAATGAATTTTTCTGACTTTCTATACCTCGTGACTTGAATGCATTTGAAGTATTTTAAATTTTACATTCTTAAGAATGTAAAATTTTTTTCCGATACAGTATAAAAAAAATATGTAGACAAATAAAAAAGTCGAAAAAAAATTATAACTACAAATCCGTTTCTAATGATAATAACAAATTGATCTAGAAAACAATACGTCACTTGTACATAATTCTACACCACAATTGTGATTTATTATTCAAGTTTATTAAAGTTTCTCAATATGAACGCAATTTTGCACTAGTAACCGATTAAGTAAAAAATTAGATTCTACATATACATGTGCCATGCGCCTATAGCTCTTATATATTATGCCTTGACATAATAAGACATCATTTATTTTATAATAACTCTGATATCAATGTCACGTTCATAATATAATCATTTTATATGCAAAAGATAACATTTCTTTAAATAAAAATAATACAATTTCTTCCAATAGAGTTTTTAAAAATAATTTAATAGTGATAAAATTTTTTCAAACAAAGTTTTTCAAAATAAAAATAATAAAATTTCTTCAAATAAAGTTTTTAGAAATAAAAACAATCGAACTCCTTCAAATAAAAATTTAAAAATTTAAAAAAATATTTGATAAAACAGATTTTAGTTTTAAATTAAGATGTTAATTAAGCTAAAACGAACACAAACATAACCTTTATTTACTGAAAAACATTTCTTTTTATTTACTGCAAACAATTAATTATCTTTTTATTTACTGTAAAAATTAAATTATCTTTTTATTTATTAAAGAAAATTTCTTTCTATTTACTGAAAAAAATATATTTTCGTTTTATTTACTGAAAAAACAAAATTTAAATTTGTAGGTATATTTTTTAAAAGAACTTCCTCTAACAACAAATCAAGAATATGTTTTCTTTTGCACGCAAGGGCCTATATGTTTGAAAATGACCTATACTAATCTCCTCCGCTGATCTGTGTTACTAGGATACATGCAACGCAAAAGCTAAAAGTATAATGCCACAATTTCATATATATATATATATATATATATATATATATATATATATATATATATATATATATATATAATATGAACTTTAAAAAACCGATTGCTGGATTACTCTTTTAGATTAGCGTACACTTGTGGAAAATTGTAATATTTTTCCTGTATATAAACAGAGCTTAAATATTTATTTAACTATAAAATTGAAATAAAATTCTCCAAACGACATACAATATTCTTTAAATTCGATAAATAATTTTCGTAACATAAAAATCTTATTTCAAACAAACGGAATATTTTTCCTTCCATTTCTCCTCCTCACATTTCTTTCACAGTTTTTACTCAATAGTTTTTACTCCAAAAAACAAAGAGTAGAATTAATAATTCGAAAACAAAAATCAAGTGAACTTTGAAACAAAGAATGAATAATCAAACTTAATTTGAATGAAACTCAAAATAAAAAGTTAAGAATATAATTTTTTAAAAACGTAAACTTATTACCCACTGCAAAAATTCTAGAACCTTTTTTTCTGTACGCAAAAAAATAGAAACGAATTTCGTCAGAACTATCATCAATATCAAATCGAAAGAGAGAGAGCCTGATTAAAAAAATATATAAAGAATAAAGATCACTGTTTATTATATTGTAGAAGCTAATCTTTCAATAATTTGTATGAAAATCACCAAATTTGTAAGGTTTAACTTTGAATGGCATACAAAATGCAAATGTCCCTCTCAATAATCCATATGTTAAATTCAATCCAAACTTTATCAACAATACGTATATTAAGACTTGGACACAAAATTTATGTGACATTTGTCCACAATTTATACATATAGTTGATAAATTTGCATATGAATGATATATGATGATCCTAATATAAATTCTCAATCCCAATATAAATTCTCAATGTCCAATTTCGTGCACATTGGTTGTACCTGATCCTCCATTTCTCTGAGATGTTTCTGTCCAGAAAGCGGAAATAAATAAATTCTAAAATCCATGAATTGCAAACTCACAATATAAATTCAAGTACATATATGTTTACTTCTTATAAATATTTGTTTACATTTCGTGTCCATGACACTTGGGACTAATTTTTGAGACTATCGTCATACAATAAACCGAACACATATTCAGAGGATGCACGAGAATTATATTATACAACACCGTATTATTATCAAAAATGTTTTATAGCGCATATATAACCCGCCAACGCTCTGTTACAAAACACAATATCAAAAAAAGTTGATCTGGTCTAATTTATACCACTTTTTTTAAATGTTCATATTTGATCATTTTATTGATAGTAAAATTAAACGTCCACAGTCGGTGAAAACATTAACTCTGAATTTTATTTATGAAAAGAAAAGAAGTTCAACTATAAAAAAGAGAGATTTTAGTTATATTTTTAAAACTTGGAAGATAAAAATTTTAACATAAGGGAGCTGTATTAATTTTACAACTAAATTCTCTACTTTTTTTCTTCTTACGCATTTTTTAAGCTGTTTTTATGATTATTATGTTTGCTTCTTTAAATAAAAATTAGACAATTTAATGCTTTCTTTAAATGTTTATCTTTTGGCAAAACATTTTTCACTGCGTGACGAATTAAATACATATGTGTGACTTTAGTTTTTCGTTTATCGTTAAATAAATATGACACTACACAAACATATTTACAATATTTTTGTTACTTCTTTGAATTTATAATAATTATTTCGAGCATTAAAAAAATTGCCATTTACTAACATTCAATTTTCATTCTAGTAAAGGTGTTTTAGTAAAACATTTAACTATTCAAAAATAAATTTCCTTCCTCAGTTCAAAACTCTATAGAAGCATAAAAAAAGTTGTTTCAGTCAAAAAACAAATTTTTCACCGTGATATATTTATTTTCAAAAAAAAATTCCAATCAGTAAATATTATTAAAACATTAAAAAGGCGTAAGAATGCCATTAAGTAGTAGATTATGGGAACAAGTAGATGTTGAATTTTGTTCCTTACACAGAGTTATTAATATCGTAAAATTTTATTTTCTAACATTGATCATTCATAAAGTGTATATGCCTGAATAGAAAACTATAATAAAAGTCTGATCCTCTTAAGTAATTCTAAAATATCTGCCGATAAATTATTCACTTTTAAGACAAGAAAGTAAAATATGCCCCCACATAAAAAATTACAATAACTGATTATTTTTTATTGATTCAATAATAGTAAAAGTATAATTTGAAAGGCCAATAATTTCAAATCATTGAAAAAAAATAAATTAATCCCTCTCTATTAAAATTTAATTGATGTTTTTAATTGATACGACAACATTTAAATTGTACGAATAGTATAAAAATATAATATTCCACAATAAAGGAATTTATTTCTCTTCTAATTATTTGTTTCAAAATTTTTCAAATACTTTTACTTATTATATTTAATACTCATATTTTTCTATTTATTATGTGCATATTTATTATTTATATATTCATTACGTATACATTTATTATTTATTGAATACATATATATTTATAAAAAAATATATTATTAAGAAGGAATAGAAAACAACAAAAAATGTATAGTTGCAGCAAGACAGTAAGTTTTAAAAAAAATGGTAAACAACAACGAAAAAAGAAAAGGAAGGAAAGGGGAAAAAAGAGAAAAAATGAAATAAATGTGAAAACGTACCTCTTAATTGACGTAAATTAATAATCAAGCATTCTCCACTGAAGAATAAACACTGAAATAATTTTCTTTCTTTTCGAAAAGGGGTAAAAAGCACGAATGTCACCACTCTGGAGTAAAAGCTCCGCACTCTCAAGAACTTTACTCACTGTAAAGGAAGCATGTAATAACAATAGCCAATCAAGTTAATTGCACTTTTTCATATAAAAAAAAATATTATTAGTAACCGGGTAAAAAGACCGGGAGTTCAAGGAGAACGTGAAACGTGAAGTCGTTCGATCGATGTCCATGCGCAGACTGAACGCACCTCGCGTAACGCGTTCGTCATGTCTTGAAGCTCTCTTCTCTCTCTTCCTCTAACTCTCTTCAATCCCCATTCTCTGTATTCTTTTTTTTTTGTTATTTTTTCTCTCTTCTCTTTTTTTATTTATATACTCTATGAAGAATCTCCTCTGCTTTCAACATTATCAACCCTCTTGTCTATTATTTTCTATATTAGATAGATACGCAAAAAAGGGGAACCCGAGTCTATATTTATACTAAATACCATGCATATACTCTTCATTAATTAAAATTTCTTTTTTTGAAACAAATAATTCTTTTTTCATACGATAAAAATGGGGCAAAAATCTTGTTTACTATTCTTGACAATTACCACAAAATTTTAATTCATTAAATATTTTATGTGGAAAATATCATCAGAGGACAATATTTACTTGAATCACGTGACAAAAGAGTCACATGTTCTGAAAGTACACGTGTCTTGTGTAAATTTGGATTTATAAACAATTTTTTCCTATAAGTTTCTGTTTAAATTAAGATTAGTCTATACAAGGAAAAAAACATAATTTTTGAATGTTTACAACAAGAGGTTATTACAAGTAAAATAATAATATTAAAATTAAAATAATAATAAGATAATATAATTGAAAATAATAATAATAATCAGACTTGCCACAAAAAATTTAAATTCAAATTCAAAAGAGAATTTTGTAGTAATTCTAAAAATTTGTTATTTCTCCAGTACTTTTGATAAAATGAGGAATTGTAGTAATAATAATAACAGTAATAACAATGATAATAATAACGATAATGATAAGAATAGTAATAAAAATAATAATAAAAACAATAATAAGAATAATGAAAAAATACACTGTAAAAAATTTAGGGAGTTAACGGACTCGGGAGTTGGGAGTTAAATTTTTGGAGTTAAAAATCAACTCCAAAAGAGAGTTAATTTCCAACTCCCTTCATTCAACACCCGCGCGAGTTATTTTTTCCATAGGGAGTTAGCATTTGGGTGTTAAATTTTAACTCTCTTTATTTAACTCCCCTGGCATTAACTCCCCAATGGGTGCGACTTTTATAGACCCCCCGGGGGAGTTAAAATTTAACTCCTTTTTTTTACAGTGTAATAGGCGATGAGCCTATTATTCGTTAAGGCACATGAATTAGTGAGTGGAACTTAGGGACAATGGTTCGATCCCCAACGCTCTGATAATTGTGATAGTAATAATAATTATAATATTAATAATAAAAATAAAGATAAAAGTAAGAATATTAAGAATAGTAAGAATAATAATAATAAACTTATAATATTATGAAACGTATAATACACACGAAATTCGGACTAATTTTCAAAAACTTGAGCATAAAGCTCATGATTTTTCTCATAACAATCCTTTAATCAAGTTCACTCCCTACCCTAATTGACTCTTATTATATCAATTCTCACTAATTCGTCATAAATTACATTCTTTCTCCGCCTACAATGAATTATGTAGATCTACATACAACTTTTTCTTTATATTTCAAGATCTTAAATGAACATATTATTTTTCCTATATTTAAAAAAAAAAGAAAAATTTAATTAACTTTGTCAACAAATACGTGACACAATAAGAAGTTAAAGAATCCATCGTTATAATAAAGAATAATTATTTCGCATTCCAACTCTTATTGATAAGATAAAAAATGAAGCAATTTCTTCAAATTGTTAAATAATGACCCACAAGCTATAAATTCTTTGCGGTTTCTTTTTTAGTAAAATCATTAGAAAATTTCTATTAGGTTAATTAGGTTTTTTTCGAAACATTATAACTTATTGTGTATAATATAGTTGACAAAAAATTTAGTATTTTTTAAATATTTTACACCCAGAAAAAGGATATATTTATTTTTTTCTACAAAAGACTATACTGTAAATTATTTTTTACCTTTAAAATAAATTTTATTCAATTTTATTTGACTCAAATACAAATTAAATTAATTAAATTATTAATTACAGAATTCTGTAAAAAAAATTTGGCAATCCTGCAAACATTAAACATTGTGTATTTTTGAGGAATTCCTTACGGAATATATAAAGAATCGTTTCACGTGGAAAGGAAATTCTTTTTTTGAAAATCTGTAAAAAAATTCTAAAATCAAATATATCTATTATATTTTAGATATTTTGCTTCTGTTTTATATTTTGTTTTTATTAAATGTTGCATTTAATATATAAATTAAAAAATAATAAAGTTCTCATGATTTTGAAAATAATATTCGGTGAAAATCAAAGGGAAATAATAGACCCTCTTCGCGCGATATATAATAAATTACATAAGAGACAAGAAGTCAGGTACTTATTTTTTATACATTTGACACACCCATTCAACTTTTCCCCTCGTTTTCTTTATTAACTTTTTTTAAAAGATCAAATTCTCACCATAAAAGAAAATGTTTACTCATTGGATCCTATTCAATAAAGTTAATTGCCTTAAAAATACAACTTTATTGATTAATGGTGGCCTTTTAAGTATCTTCCCAATATATAATCCCTATATGAGCTGCTTTTTCGATCCTCTTACATGTAAGACACTCGACCCCTTTTGATCAGGTCAGAATAAAGGTATTACCCCTTAGAGTTGGGTGTTACAAAAAGGAGAGGTCAAAGGGTGAAATTTCGATCCGATCGATCGACACTATTATACAAGGGCCCCAAATAATTCGCAAATAAATACAATGTATCATTTTTATCTCTAGTCAACAAAATTCCTTCAAAAACTTCTTCAAATTTTGGTTAAAATTTTTTTTAAAATATGATAAATGAAATAAAAATTAAACATAAAATTAAACAATTTTAAAGAAATAAATTATTCGTATAAAATTTAAAAAAAAAGAAGCATTCCAAGCGTGAAAAATATATTATGCAAAAAAAGAAAGAAAAAAAGGTATCTGCGCTGATGATGGAGAAAAAAAGAATAGGTATATTATACAAAATAAGATCAGAAGGAAAAGAAAGAACTTGAAACATAAGAAATATACAGTCTACAGAAAGTATTAAAAATGAAATGTACAACTTGTGAAAAAGTGTGTTAAAAGATAAGAGGGCGCGATAATTTGCAAGTACACTACAAAGTATAAAATTAATATATCCCTGCATTTATTAAAATTGACTGTATAAAATTATATTATATCGAAAAACAGCATCATCTGCGTGTTACAATTAAATCGAGAAAAAAAATTTTAATATAATGTTGAATTTCTGGTTATCTATGGTTTCACTCTCCCCTCTCTCTCACTCTCTCGCATTGCTTGCTATTTTATCGACAAACTTGTATGAATGAAGGTCTTCACACCCACCACACCCTTACACCAACTTCATTGAAGAAAACTATATTATGTACTGCGAAAACCGATATTTTTTTATATTTCAGAATATAATCTACTTTTTTTCTCTTTAGTAAATAATATTTTATATTTATTTATTTTTAAATTATAAAATTTAAAAAAAAGAATATTTAAATTATTATTTTATTAAATTACTATCAAAAGTTAACATAATATTCAATTTATTATTATTATTATTATTCAGGGTTGCCACAAAAATTTAATTTTGATTTTCCCTGACTTTTCCCTGATTTCCAGACAAAATTTTGATTTTTGCCCTGACCCTGAAGAATATTCTGATTCACTCCAAAATTATGAGATATACTCAAAAAAATGTTCTATTACATTTATTTACGAATTTCTTCAAAAGTAAAATTATTCGAAAGTATCAATAACTTTTTTTTTAAATAAAAATTTAATCATTATTATTTTTCTATAGGAATTAATATTTTCAAATTCAAACCTTCTGAAATTCAATAACTTATGAGAATATTATTATAAAACATGAAGAAATCGATCACTCCGAGTCGAAGAATATTGAAACTATAAATTCAAATTTTCAAAGATTTTAATTTGAACCCTTTTCAAAATTAAATTTTATTTCTAAAAATTTAAGCTATCCCAGGAGGAAAAGTCGGACGAATGTCGGATTATACAACCGCCTGGGATCCGCGCCTGTACGGACCGCCAGCACCGATGGTCTGTACCGATTCGGATCCTAAAATGCAACCGGCGCGGAACAGATTAGGCTCCGACTTTTGGATCCGCCTTTCTACTTTCGTCAGTACTGGCGCGGTACTGGATTTGTTCCGCCTGCAGATTTCATTCTTCTACGCGCGTCGGAAGAATGACGGATGTTAGGTCTGTACTGGCTCGGTGCTGGGGCGGATCCGACTGCGGATCTCGTCATTTATTGTTATAGTTTACATTATCAGTATAATCATAAATTTATTTTATTATTATAATTAATTATTACAATAACTAATTGCATTTATTATAATATTATTATTAGTTAACCAATAAATAAATTAATAGTATTCATGCAAAGGAAGAATATAAGAAACTTAATTTAAACAACATTAAATACAATATATAAAAAAGAGATTATTAATTAATTTATTATTAATTAATTAATAATCTTTTTTTAATTTAAACAATATATTAAGTAATTATTTATTGACACTTTTCTGCAAATTAAATAATTAAAAAAATGTGTTGTGCATTAAAATTTTATTCAATTTAATACTATTACTTATATGTTATAAATTGTTTTGCAGTGAAGTTATGTTCATATTATTCGATATATTATGTAATAAAATATTAAAAAACATAAGAATAAAAATATAACATTTTTTTTTAAACGAAATATTGAAATATTCACAAATACACATACACGGAAAAAAAAAGTTCACGAATCTCTCGTGAACTAGTATATCACTTTTGGATGGGACACAAAATTTCAAAATTTTCATTCACTTTTGATTAGAAATGGCGAACGTCAACGAAAAACTGAAACAAAGTTAATGAATTTTTGATGAACTGTTAAGGAAGAGTAGTTCGTCAAAAGTAGAGGTACAAGTTCACGAAAAAATCGTGAACTCGCGAGTGTCAGTAGTATGCGCAGTTCGTAATGCGCATCAAATATGGCTGATCAAGCA